AATTTTAAAAAATGGTTTATTAACTATATAAACTTCTTTTTTGACAATAGTATTGTTAAAAAAAAGTTTATATAGTTAGTAAAATATTTTTTAAAGATATCTTATAATCTATTAGACTAATTATAATAATTTAACTACTATTAGATTTGTTTTAACAAGCTTTATAACTTTAATTAGAGGCTCAAAAGTAATTAACTTAGTATAAAAAAGTTTAGATAGAAACAGCTCATATTTAGAAAATCCTAATTTCTATATATAAACTATTATATTATACTATGATCTCTCTCTAGTTAACTAGCAAATTACTAATTAAGTAATTAAAATTTAATAAATTTTAATATATAAATTGTATTTAAAATAATACAAAGCTTTAATGATTTTATAATCTAGTAATCAGATTTGAATTATTTAAAGCTTATTGAAATTATTTTTAAGAAGATTATTTTGATAGTAAAATTATCTAAATCTGATTACTAAATCAAAAATTATTAGTTATTAAATATTTATTAATTATAGTAATAATTATTTTTATATAATTAATTCAACCAATAATATTATTCATATAATAATATTATAGAAATATCTTTAGGTATATTATATATTATTTATATATTTTGGCTATAGTCATTGCTAGAAATAGAGATATAACTAAAAATTAATATAAAATAAGATATAAATTAAGTAAAATTGATATAAAAAATTTATTTTGCTAAAAATTGGAGATATAACTTAGGTTAAAATACAACACAATAGAGATATAACCCAGATATGACTGTACTTACTTCTTGAATACTGCTATAAACCTGTAAAGAATCTCTGTAGTATTGTTATTGTTATAATACTACTGTTAAAAAAACTACAATACTATAACAATATTTTACTAATATTTAATTCTATTGTATATACTAACTCTAACTTAAATAAACTTAAAGGTTTTTGTATACTATTTTATTATTACATAATAATAAAATTTTAATAAAAATATATAATATTTTGCAAAAGACCTGAACTACCAGCTAGTCTACTCATATTTGTAAACAAACCAGATAGTATTTCGATCCTATTCTTTAAAGACTATTCGGATTGAATTCAGATCCTATTTTGTGTATCTGAATAATAATTTAAATCTGAATAAATTTGGATTTTATATTGGCTGCACAATGTAGTTGCACTAAAATTCCTTATACTAGTTAAGAATTTATTATTGTTCACTACTCAAATTGACCAATCACATGAAAGATATTTAGAATTATGATCTGGATAATGATAATCCTTATCTTTAATCTGATATGTATTATCGTTATAGATTTATCTAGTTAAATTAACGGATATAGATATCTGAATTATCGATACAACAAATAACGATTTGATGTAATATAACACAATCTTGACAAATGTTCGTTTGAGTCAAAAATTACCTGTTATTCAAAAATTCATACAAGAAATCATCTTTTTAAAAATTTGTTCTAAAAATCGAGTACTAATGTAAGTGCGATCTTAAAAGATTTTTTAAAAAAACTTAAGAAACGCTAATATATAATAATATATTTTAAAACTATTGTGCGGATAAAGATTTTTTTAAAAAATTATTTATCCTTTTAAACTTTGTTAAAGATCTGCACAACTATTCAAGCAAGTTATTTATCAAATATATGTAAGTTGTTCTTTAAAAAAATAATATTTATTATACGATTATTTTTTTAATATATAGTTTATTATTATTATAGTTAAGATTAGTGTAATTTTAAACTTGCTAGTAATAGTTTGCTTAGTGATCTGCACGTGATATCAGTATCAAAAAAGTATAAATTTTAGTATCAAAAAATGTAAGTGCAGAAGCTTCAAGAACATAAGTTTTGCAACGCAGAACCCACATTTGATCATATGAGGCCTTTGCAGTAGAAAGGGCCGAAACTCGAAAATATATAATTTTGAAAAAATTGTATTTATTTTTTCAGACTGATCTGGATAAATTAAAAATTTTGTGATTTGATTGGTTGGTTATATTGGGCAATCTCGTGATGTACAAGTTTTCTAAAAAGGTTTTTTAAAATATCTCAATTTTTTATTATGCCAATCTATTTCTATTTATAATTGAAAAATGCAGCTTATCTCAAGATTAATCTGAATATTAAAAAACTTAATTTTGATTTTTAGAGGAGTTTGGGCTTTTTTTACTGCAAAGGCCTCATATGACAAACAGTTAGCCAATAAAAATCATTTAAAATTATATACCAAAATTTTATAAATAACAAATCAATTTTGATTATAAGATGTTTGCTAGAGCATAGCAGGTATTAATTCTGATTCGTAAATGTAATATTACATATACTATTAAAACGAATTGTCAAAGAATACGGTATATATATTTTGAAACTATACCTTTTGTTCTATCTATAGTAGAAATAATTCAAAGAAAAGAGGATTAATCTAGAAGTTAGCGATGGAGTGCAATTTTTTTTTAAGGTAATTCAGCAATTAGCAAGATAAAAGTGCTAAGTTTTTTTAAAAAAACTCAAAGATAGTGATTCATTTAACAATACTTAGTTTTTTTCAATATTTTTTCTGAATATATATTATTCGACTAAACAATATATTAGATAGAGTATACGTATAATATATATGATTATATAACTATATATATTTTATAACTTAGGGATGTGAAACCGTTTAAAATAGTTCTAAACTAGCAGTACACTATGTAAACTGAATCTAAGTTTTTACGTAATATATAATTGGTTATATGAATTTTGGAACTAGTTTACTGATAATCTTTTTTTGCAATACCAATTTTTTTTTAATACTGATACATAAAAAAGTAAAACTATGAAATATAACTAAACTGACTATATAAAGAGAAACACTTTATTTTATTTATTTTTTTTTTCTTTATCACTATTTTAATTATCTTCTATGTACTTTATTAAGCTTGTTGCAAACCAGGTTTTAAGACAGAGAGCAGTACAAGCCTTTTCTAACTCTAAATGATTTCTATGACCAAAATTTAATATAGCAAGGTAAATTAAATAATCTGTTATTATTATCACTATATGATCAAAATTTAATATAGCAAGATAAATTAAATAATCTGTCGCTATATAAATAAAATTTAATATAGCAAGATAAATTAAATAATTCGTTATTAATGATATAATTCATAGTCACACATAAAAAATTAACTATGAGTTATATATGTATCTCATGTAACAAACGAACTAGTTTCGCTAGTTCAATCTGAATTATAATATTCTGAGTTTTGAACTCAGTCGAACTAGTTCTAGCTAAATGATTTAACATCCCTACTATAACTACAATAGTATTTGGTTTTTATACTATTCATACTCTCTATGTACTTATTGATAGCTAATAGTTTTTTTTAATTTATTTATATTATACTTTTTTTTATCTTGTTATTAAGCTATGTACTGGTCAGTAAGCGATTTGGTTAATAAAGATTATCTATATATATTAAAGAATTGATAAATTTAAAACTTTTTTTTTATTAAGTTTAATCATATATGTATTTGACAATGGCTGTAAGAATTAATATTAAAAATTATTTAAATTTAAATTTATAGTTTAAATATATCTTTTTATCTAATAATTTTTAAAACCTTTAAACTCATTTTCTATTAGTCAATCAAATTTTATAATGTTACCAAATAATCTACAAATATTAGGCAATCAAAATGAATATCTGCTATGCTTAGTCAATCATTATACCATATATATTATGTAATTAGAGTATATTTTTTGCTTTTTGGCATGCCCATGCCTCTGTGCCCAACCCTATATATTACACTAAGATAATTCTCTGATTGACTAGCAAATCACCAATTAAAAACAAAATTTGGTGATTATAAGAAGTTATAGCTATATTTTATTAATAGCTAAAACAAGGTTATTACTATATCAAAAATAACTATAATGAAATCTAACTATATATACTTATTAATAGGTTTGGAATTATAAAAAAATATTCTAAAGGTTAATTATATGGGCAAAAATCTCCAGTTGAAACACAGTGATTATTAAAAATTAGGTGATATTATACTTACATATATATAACAACAATTTATAAGTAATTAGGTTACAATCAGGTAAATATGTACAAAAAATTTGTAAGTAATCAAGTTACAATCAGGCACATATGTACAAAAAAAATTTAATCAGGTATATATATATAAAATTTATAAGTAATTAGATCATAATTAGGTATATAAGTACAAAAATTTATAAGCATCAGGTTACAATCAGGTACAAATTTATGAATAAAATTCATAAGCGATTCATAAACAATTCATTATTAGGCTTACAACCTCTAATCAAAAAATCATATTTATTTTCAATAATCATGCCATATCACATAAATGATTGGTACAAATTTTATTTACCCTAATCACTCACATTAAATCATCATGAAATTGGAGATTTTTGCCTATATATCATATTGCTTAACACTAACATAACTCCTAACATATATATATATTATTATTGTATCTAGTCATGTCTTAATAAATATTTATCAGCAGCTACACTATTAAAACTTTATTTAAAAAAAAATAATTTTTTTTTAAAAAAAAATTTATTCTGCAAATATTAATTAAGAAAAAGAAAAAAAAAAAAAAAAAAAAAATAAGCAACAAAAAAAAACAAAACAAAACAAAAAATCCTTTTTCAATTTCTGCAATACAATTAATCATGAAAAGTAATAATAAAGCATAGATTCAAAAAAAAACTTTATGAATTCAATATCTGCAATACAATTAATTATGAAAAGTTATAATAATAAAGTATAGATTCAAAAAAAAAACTTAATAAATTATATTATGATTCTTTTTCAATAAATCAACTTCAAGTTTTAGTTGCTTGTTCTTTGTTTCCAAATCTGCTACTTTGAAGTATAGCCTTTGGATAGTTTATTTTTTTTATTTAATAATTATTTAGGATGTCTATGATTTGCAAGCTGGAAAATATGGAACATCTTGACTACGGTAAATATTTAAAGTGTTTGAAGTAGATTCTTCATTGTTTGAAGTAGATTCTTCATTGTTTGAAGTAGATTCTTCATTACGTAACTCTTGAGCAATAGATTCAATCTATGAATTATAATCATTAAACTAATAGAGTATAGAAAAGAAATTAATAAGAATATTTATTAAATAGCTAATATTCATAAATAATAATATATCAAGTGCAAGTTTCTTTATAATAGAAAATATAAATTCTTTTTTTAAAATTTACGATCTTATTTAAAGAAACTTTATTAGACTCTCTTTTGTGATGCCGATGATAAATATAAACTGAACAGAAACCACCTTGGCAAATATAAATTGCTTTGGTAGTTTCACAAAGAAAAACAAAAGAAAATCTTTGTAATACCGACAACTATATTAATCAATGGTGAATTATCTTTGCAACATGTTTTGATAATGACTCCTTCTTGCTACATCAACAAGTTGCATTGACAATCTCACAAAGGGAACCTAATGGAAAAAGACTTGATTACTATGAAAAGATTAATTTGTAACTACCAAGAATGTCTTGTTCTTGTTTTCTTTTGAGAAAAATTCAATTATTTGAAGTGTATTTTCATTGAAACTCCATTTTTGTTTTTTTATGATACTAATACTGAATAAAATTAATCACACGTAATTTTATAGTTTTGATCTATGTCAATTTAATTTGATTGGCTAATTAATTTTCCTATACATTTTCTAGGAGATGGCTAAAGCCGGGTACTGGTTAGAGTTACTTTTTTGATAAAATTAATGACATTATTTTATCAAGAATACAATTTATGTAGTATGTAGATCAATATATAAATGTAGATAAACGTAGTTGACCCCATGGGTAATACAAACCTCTAAAAAGGAAATGACCAATCAGAGAATACAAATTTCGAGTATTCCGACATAGAATCCGAACATGTGCGAAAGAAGAAAAAAAGAAAAGAAAAATTTTACATATAGAAACTCCAACTTATCGCTAAAGCTCACAACCCTAACATCTTAATCCTAAACTTCCTAAACTTCTATTTTTACGCACTTGGCTATCGTTATTTACAAAATTTAATTCCTTTTTTGGTTTGTGTTTACCCGCGCAAATAAGTAAATCAACCACGGAAGCATCAAATTCATTTACCTGGACTTTGATATAATTTAAATACATACTAAGGTATAATAGAAGTGTATATCAACGTTTATTTCACCTTTTTCTTAACCATAGCATATCTAGACTTTTATATATAATAAGATATTAGTAAAATCAAGAAATAAAAAATTTATAAAATTATATAATTAACTTACTATAGATTTGCACGGAAGTTCTTAGTACAAACATGTTCATGAGGTAGAGAACCATATCTTAACTCGGCCCTCTCAACTAATTCAATTGCTACATTAAGATTTATAACAATATTAAAAACTAGAGTATAAACTTCAATTGCAAGCCCACAATAAAAAATCTTTCACCATTAAATGGACCTTCCGATCGAAATGACAATTTAGGCTGAGCTGTAATCGTATCATTAATAAAATTTAAGGACATATATCAGCATTAAATTTTTAAGAATGAATCGTATTGATAGTTTTTACAGCTGTTTTCATTATTCCTGGGACACCTATAAAAAAATTAGCCGAAAAATTTTTCGGTCGGTAATTTTTTCGGCAATATAAATTATATTTTTGAATTCGTTCACTATTAATTTACTGTAATATTGATATAATGTATACGTCATAAATTAAT